GAACATTTATGTGTTTTATGTAAAACTACCTAACATTCCTTGTTTCCAATACTTCTTTCGAAATCATAATAATGGATTGAGCCTACAGGGTCCGGTAATTGGATTAAACGGTGGTGAAAAGATTGCCATGGATTTTTTTTTATTCGACAAACTTGAAATAGTGATAAGGTTGTAATATATTGTTGAAGGTTTTTTTTTACAATAGCAATCAATAATGCTTCGCTATTCATCATGATACAGTCATTCATGCAAATTTCGAGATTTCATCATCGTCAGACAATCCTGAATTTCATTATGTGGGGATACCCACAAGGCAAAAAAGTAAACTCTACCAGTCGTCAAACAATTCCTGAACTCGAAAAATAGGGAATTCGTGCAGATATATACAGAGGTATATTTCTAGTGATCCTGATTCAGAATCCATCATTATTTATTCAGTAAAGAATTATCATGATAAAAAATATTGCTCACTTATTTTCTTTGTCAAATGCATTGTAAATTGAAATGATACAGTTATGTTTGAATCAATTATCAATAATAATTTGTCATTAGTTCTTACCGAAAATACCACAGTACTACATCTTCTGATGACGTATTCAAAAACAATAATAATTCATTTTTACGGACACCCTATGTATGGTTTATGATGATGACAATCGGTACAGGTATGTTTCATTAAGTGATCCTGATTCAGAATCCATCGTTATTTTACGTAGAAAAAAATCCCTCATGAACGCTTAGAAGAAGGCAGAGTGCATATTAGGGGGATGTGATTTTGCAAACTGAGAGAGTTATAAACGAATGTAGAGTCCATGGTATCTCAAAGTGGATTAGTAGAGATGAAGAAGCAAGCAAAGTTAGAATTTCCACATTTTTATTACAAGGGAATCAATTTTTCGGACCTACATGGGTCTATCATCAGCCTATGAGTTTAGGCATGACCTCGGGCATCACCTATAATTCATAATAATGATGTCGAGTTTGCTTGCTCCTTCATGAAACAGTTATGTTATTTAATTTTAGTAAGCTATTTCAAATATATTTTTTCAGTGACTGAATGACAACCGTTCAATCCTATTGTCGGATCCTGCGTACAGGGTGATTCACCATAAATGCCCCCCTCTCTAGGTCACTTATTCTTGAACCAATTTGAAAATTTGAAGAATCATCTAAAATGATTTTCCGTAAAATTTTTTCCCGTTGCATCAGAAAATACAGGGTGTTCGGAACAAACGATCTACAGAGTAGGTACTTGAGAGTACTACTTGATTTTTTCAAATGGAACACCCTGTATTTCATTGTATTTTTAGATTCTCCCTGGAGAGCTGATTTCATCAATGCATCATACTTGGGGTCTATCGTGAATGATTACAGAGATAAAGGGTGTTCAAAATCGAGATTTTTCAACTTGAGTATTTTTTAGAGTCGAAACTATTCATTATTGGTCAAAACGGCTTCAATGTCCCTATCTTAACTTTTAATTTACTATCTACTGACATTTAATTGGAACATATTATACAGTGTGGTTCAAGATTCAGAATTCTGATCACCCTGTATCTGTTCCAATTATTAAATGTCAGTAGATAGTAAATCAGAAGTTAAGATACGGACATGAGTTTCGACCGATAGTGAATAGTTTTGTCACAGAAAAATCCTAAAGTTGAAAAATCTCGATTTTGTACACCCTATATCTCTGTAATCATTCCCGCTAGACCCCAAGTATGATGCATTGATGAAATCAGCTTTTCAGGCAGAATCTAAAAATACAATGAAAAATAGGGTGTTCCTTTTGAAAAAATCAAATAGTACCCTGTAGATCGTTTGTTCTGAGCACCTCGTATTTTCTGATGAAAAAACTCTATCGAAAATCATTTTAGATGATATTCAAAATTTTGCAATCGGTTCAAAAATTACTGAGCTAGAGGGGGGGACATTTATGATGAATCACCCTGTACAATCAACATAATCAAAATATTCATCAATAGTTATCTACTGAGAAACTATATTACAAAAATTTATATCACAAATAAACATAATTTTTCACATTCCTCGTTTGTACTTGGATGATTTCTCCTCAAAAATATCGTGATTTATACTGGGCAAGTTTAATACTGGGAATCCAACTAACATCAGAGCATTTTTAGTTCATTTTGATCATAACAATGAAGTAAAAGCAATAGTCTTCTTGAGAATATACACTTTTTTTTAGGTTTCTTCATAATTCGAATATTCATAAAGTCGGTATCATATGGGAGAAACTTTTAATAATAATAAATGTCGCTCATTGTTGAAAGTTACATTTTTTCAAATTAATCGCTGAAATTATGCGTATTTGTTTGAATTTCAAAAAAGTAGGGCTGAAAGACTTCGGTCAATGGCCTTTTGGGGTATATCCCTAATAAAGATGTTCTCTCTCTCAAAAAAGTTTACCGAGAAGAGTTGTTACTATTACAATTTTACGAATTTGAATGTTCTCTAACATGTTTTTGATATTAGTTCGAAATATACGTAATATTTAAAAAATGTAACACCGATAAAACAATTTCATTCTAGTAGCTTTATCATGCTACTAACTATCAATCACTAATTATCGAAAGAAATATGATTTTATTCAGAACATAATAATCCCCGCTTCAAATTTCTGTTATGTTTGATGCAAAGTTGATCTTTCGTCTATCATTCAGGAGCGAAATTTATTCAAATTGATTTTTTCAGTGCTAAAATGATGCCAAAGTCATCTATCAAAATATCATCAAACAACGTTACGTATCTAACCAGAGTTTACGACAGTTTTGTCGAAGTTACAATTAGAAGAAACCAAGAAATATCAACAACTAAAAGTTGCAATAGAAAGTTTAAATTGGAGACACATGATTGTGGAAAATTGAAATAGAAGGAACTTTTCTTGGTACACTTTTTTGAAATTCGATGAAATATGCCTATTTTCAGGGATTGATTCGAAAAAATGTAACTTTTGAAATGTAGCAAACGTCTCGTGACTCCGACCAAAACTCGAATTTCGAAATAATTTATCATTAAAGATTTTTCCCATATGATGCCAAATTTATGAATGACACTGTATTTATAGCTGAGAACGGAATCGAAATTATAAATTATTGTCTGATTGATCACCAGCTGAAATAATTACGGAAACTCCACTTAGGAGGTGATTCATTTTACAGTAGTCAAGACATTAGGAAAGGGTGACAGATGACCGACCATGGAGGTAAAACATTGAAATATAACCTCACTTCTCTTATTTGTTTACAAAAGGATTGAAAAAGTCACAATTATTTCAGCAATAGAATGGTGTTTTTTGGCTATTCAATAATTCTAGCATGCCATCACATTGTGCTGTTGTACAATGCACAAAAAATGTAGCGAGACACAGGAATCCAATTTTTCAGGTAGGTGAGATAGATACATAGAGATCTAAAAGTACTGTAGTCACTCACATTGATTTCATTCTGAAATTTTATCATTTCTCATCGGTATTTCTTCTGCATTAGCAGCTAATAGAAATACTTGTAAAGCTTCTGAAGGAAGGCAGGAAGATTGCATTCGTGCAATCAAACGGGAGAACTGGTCTGACCTGCTGACGGAATATGATCATGTGTGTTGTAGACATTTTCAATCTATTAGCAATATAAGCTTCTATTGCAAAAGTGGCAGAAGGAATTCAAATGAGGAATGACAGAATTTCATAATGAAAACTATGTGAGGTCACTGATTACCTGTAAAATCATATTCCTCCGTCTCTCGCTGCATTTTTGTGCATTGTACAACAGAACTATGTGATGGTATGCTTGAATTAATAAATAGCCCAAAGAACACAATTCGTATCCAAAAATATTGTGAAAAACTATTTCAATCCTTTGATTCTTTTGTAAATAAGAAAAGTGAGGTTGTTTTCCAATGTTCCACCTCCAGGGTCGGTCATCGTGCACGCGACCTATTACTTTCTGAAAAAACAAAAATGAGCTCTGATGCGTTTTATTTTGAAAATACACGGTACTGGGAAGCCTTACCGGAATCAATTTATTTATACAGTGAGGACCAAGCCCGTCGCCCCTCGCCGTAGGTTACATTACAAAAAATGTTAAAAACTTTCAAAAAGTTAGGATAGGAGAGTGAAAAACATTGTGTATCATTTTTCAAGGTTTTCTCACTGAACTTGTGCAAAAATAGTCGAAATAATAAATTACAAGTATTTATATTTCCAGAACTATTTTTTGTGGTATAAATAAATCCATCAAACTTGTTCAAAATTCAACGTAGAATCTAAAAATATAATAATATATATGGTGTCCCGTTCAAGAAAATGAACTTCTGTTTGAGACACTCTGTGTAAATGAATCTCAAAGCATTAAAGAAATCGAATGAAACCCTACAACTTATGTAACTATTTCTTTTTTGTAATATGTAATATAAAGTTAATGGGAGGCGACGGACTTTTGGTCCTCACTGTATTTGCAAAATTTTTCAAAGTACAGGTGGACCAAATTGGACAATTGGACAAATTGGAAAGAATCAATTCAAAAAAGTTTCAGAGGTCGATATGAGGATTTTATCATTGATTTTGTCATACAAATCGACCCTTAGCCACCGACTGTTTGCGTTTATCTGGATGGCTTAGAAATAGGACTTTTCTTTGAGAAGTGTCCAATTTAACCCACCCTATACAACCATTTGAATATTTTTATGACTGTTTATCAAGCAGTTCAATTGAGCATTAGTTCACAGCACATAGACTTTTCAACTTATCTATCAACATTTCTGAAAAATTATATTATTAAATTCTTCACAGTGAGTCGTATTTTGGATAGCCCTAGCATGTACTAAATGAATCAATTTTGACTGATAGCTGTAGAAATGATCAAACGTCAATGTGATGTGCGAACTTTATTATAATGTTTTCAAGGAGAAATCGTTTGACAATATGGAAATATAGTCTAGTGGTCTAGGACCATCGCTAAAAACTTTCAAAAAACTAAAATGGATTATAGTGAAACATTGGCAACCTCGGACTCAGCGTTGGAGGTAGTCGGCGAATTCACATTACCGCTGATCGTAGTCACGTGATTTCCAATACTCAGTGCTGCTACCTTGGCACGTTGATAGGCGCTCAGAGTATTTTGTCCCAAAAACCTGTTCAGAATAATATTGACGAAATTTCTGTCTAGTTCATGAACCTTCGGCCAATAACATGGCATGCAATTTCGATTTGAATCAATGACAATAGGCAAGAACACAAACGCGTGAATTCAATTTAGATGTGCATTCAACTGATGAGATATGCTGTAATACTTCGAAAAACACCATTTCAATATCCAACAATTTTATGCAACGTTTAAACGTAGTGTTTGGGAGACACTCATCTAGCTAATACTAATGTCAAAACCCCCTGTGTTGCCGGCTATTTTATTTCAAGGACATATTTCTCAATTTGCAAATCTATGCAACTGTAGACTGTCGAGATGATTAGATTGATGCGGTGAAGTCACCAATTTAGATTTACCTGTATCAGAAGTTGGAGGGCCAAGGGCTGATGATTGTTAAAATATTTCAATTAGCTTGAAGAATCAATTGAGAGAATTGTCAATTTTTCATAACTATCAATAGACGACGAAATTGAATGGATTTTATATTGTGGGAAAATAAAAAAATACTTTTAATGGGAAAAATGAAATAGGCAACGAAAGTTGTTCTTATTTAAATATTCCCCATATGATTCTATCGATTTCTATATAGATTTTCAATCAAAAATTTACGTTTCAGTTTGATTTCTTTGACACGTTGAATGCCACGTATGGCTGGAGTAGGAGGCTCTGAGAAACCCAGGCTAGGTTTGAGTAAATTATTATGTTTTTAAGTGTAATTTGAGAATATAATGGTCTTGCTAATTCATGCTGACGTTTTCAAGGTCACCAGCAGCTGTCCAGTTTACGGCACAGCGGGCTATATTTGGGGTGTTAGCATGTATAGCCCGCTGTCCAGTAAACTGGACATACACATCTCATGAAAAAAAAACTGAACTAAGTGTGTTACTTATTTATTTCCTTTATTGAATGCGAAAAAGTATAAATGAGATCAAATCTAGATAAGAGAAACCTAAATGGACGATGCATTCCAATTTTTGAGGCAAGGATTGACACGTAAACCAGATTTTTTCGGACGAACAGGGCAAAAATTACTAGTTTTCTTTTTTTCTATCATCTCCGAGCATTGGCAACATCTTTTCATTTCGGATATTTTTTCTGTTGATTGATTCGGCTCCAAAAAATTGAATTTGCTTGTTCTTGTTGTTTCGGCTTGAGGAGTTTCAACACAAGTTTCTATTTGCTGATCTATAAGCTTTATAATTATTTCTTCACGAAAGTCCAACAGTCTGACATTTTATTCTGATGAAGATTATAAATGTAATAAGTATTCCACATACACAAATCACACAAAAGGAAATTAAATTTGCGGTACCACCTCAAGGTTTTTCTTGGAGTGAAATAATGAGTTTAAAAATATTCAAAGAACTATTGAAGAGAAAACTTCTCTCAAATGATATCAATTTGTAACTGTTTTCTATTACTGAGAATATTAGACCTACCTCGGCAATACGAAATCATTATCATTTTCATTTCAATATATTCATTTTCATGTAATAAGTAATTATATGATTAGTCTTTAAGTTAGTTGACGAAAGTAGAACCCAATCATAAGTTTATATATTGAAGATTGCTGCAATCAGAGCCATTTATAAAAAAGGTGAAAAAACAAATTGGCAGAACTATAGTCCGATAGCTCTTTAATCAAATTTCAGCAAGATTTTTGAAAAAATAATATATACAAGAATTGTGACTTTCGTCGAAAGTCACAAACTGATTACAGATTCTTAAAATGGATTTAGAAAAGTCAAATCAACTATACTCGCTTTATATAATGCCCTCACTACGATAATGAACTCGCTGAACAATAAAAATGAAACTATAGCAGGATGTATAGATCTCTGTAAGGCCTTCGATAGGGTCGACCACACTATACTTCTAAAAAAAAACCGAATATATTGGAATAAGAGGGGTTTCCTTGAAACTGATACACTCTTATATGACAAAAAGATTCCAATATCTAACAGAAAGAGATGAAGAAGGTGAGCAAATTAAATCAAGAAAAAAATCAAAGTTGTTGTGCCACAACGCTCTATACTTGGGCCACTATTGTTTATTTTATATATATCAATAATTTGCCTCATATAGTTTTGATCGAAAAATTGTTCAATTTGCGGATGACACTTCGTTAATATTCAGTGACACAATTGGAAATGATATAAAAACCAGCATGTCGAATTCACTAACATACTAAAGAATTGGTTTGAAATGAATAATATGCAAATGAATGTTAATAAAACTCAACCCATGAAGTTTTCTTATACACCGCAGAATGACACTTTTTCAATACTCCATGATGTAGATGAAATCTCGGCTGTTCCCTCTTTAAAATTATTAGGAATCACAATAGATTTCAGACTGGATTGGAACAAACACGTTGACCACCTAGCACCAAATATGGCAAGTTATTGCTATGCACTCAAGGTATTGGCTCAGTCATTAAACATTGAGGCTGCATTAACTGCATATCATGTATACATCCAATCGCGTGTTAGATATGGAATCATATTTTGGGGTAATTCTACAGATGCCCATAGAATGTTGGTCATTCAGAAAAGATGTTTCAGGAATATACTGAGTATGAAACAAACATAGAGCTGCAAAAATATATTTCCGAAAGTAAATGTACTTACCCTGGTGGGATTGTATATATACAGTATGATGCAAATGTATGGAATAAATTCATTATTTCAGAAATGGGCGACATTTTAAAAAATTCCAAAAACACGTGAGGTTTCATTTTTGAAGCCTCATCTCATGATATCCATATGAAAGGTGTTACGTCACCGGTGTTGGAGTAATGACGTAATGAACGATTTTTTCAAATGAAAACAGGGGTCATGTGACACCTCGTTTGAAAGGTCTACTGATCGTCTATTCAACAGTCAACATTTTGCATAAGAAAATTGAAATTAAAATGGCTTATCATTTGATTAACTGAATCTTGCAGAGGTCTGCTACTGAGAATTGAACAACGAAGGGTCGTCTATTTAAAAAAATAAATCAATTAATAAAGTTCTGAAGTCTAGTTTTTGGATTTTTTCGGAAGTCGTCTCGTTTTGAAATGAATTTATTCCATACATTTGCATCATACTGTATATGAAGCAGTAATATTTGTTAGGGAAAATAATAACTTTTCAAAACACTAGAACATGATTACAATACTAAATTCAAACAACATCTAATCACAGATTAAAAAAATATACTTATATTCAAAGAAACGTGGAATACTCATAAAAATGTTCAATTATTTGTCTGAAAAACTTTTAAAAAATGCCAATAAATAAAATTAAGCATCATCTCAAACAGTTCTTAATACAAAAGGCTTACTATAAACTGGAGTAATATTTTGGAGATATCCCTACATAATTTTGATATTTTCAATACATATGTAATAAATATATGTCAAAAACACCTTTTAATATGTAATCTTAATCTAAGTAAATAAGCTATTATATTTCCCCTTTTGGGTTTTCCTCTTATTTTATCTTCTTCTATATCCTTTCATCTATTATCCATAATCTCTATGATTTATTTATATCATCGACATGTTCTACACCCGTTTGGGTATTATGTATTGTACACATAAACGCATGAAGGATATCTATCTATCTATCTATCTATCTATCTATCTATCTATCTATCTATCTATCTATCTATCTATCTATCTATCTATCTATCTGTCTAACTGTGTTAGCAGGCAAAGTGCTAACTCTGCTTTTTGTCAGTAGATTATCTAATTCAAATTGCATGTACCGAGTTAACTAGACTGGCAATAAAATCTTATGGCTATATTCCGTATTCAACTGGTCAGTACTGTCAGTTGATCCACTGACTCTGCTGAAAATCTGTGTTCCGAAATATAAAATCAAAAATTCACTACTGTAATTCGGGACACGTTTTCATGGTTTTCATCAGTAGTAGTTTCTCGTTCATCTGAACTAGATGTTTATAGTCTCCTACTTGTTATAAATTTTGGAAATTTAATATTTTACTTGGAAGAGAAATCGATTCTTGTATCCTCTATAGTTTCTACGATTGTTGACGATGGCGATTCAAGCTCGGGTGATGAAGAATACTTGGACATTTTGTTGCCATCAATTTTTCATGATGCACCAGATTGAGAATTGAGATTCATGAAAATCGCAATATGCCCTAATAATGATGAATTTTAGGAGACATTCCAGGTTTATTTAGTTTATTTAGCCAATGCTGCTCCTTTCCTTACCTGCTCTACTATTTCATACTCCAGGTATTTTCTGATATTGAGAATGATTTCATTAACAACGGAAATGAATGTTTCATTCTCCCTTCCCCCTCTAAAATATGACAGTTCACTGAAGCCACACTACCTTTTGATACTCAGCAATTCCAGCAGAATGTTGAGTCGAAATATTTGGAATGAATAGTATGTCTGCTGACAAACATCTGTCACTTCCAGTGAATTTTTTGATTTCGGAATGGAAAATCAGCAGATTCAGTACTGTCAGTTGAATTCGGAATATAGCCTATTATTATTATTACTATAACGACTACTAATTATGTGAATCCCACTGACCTGACGCAAACGTAGATGATGATGAGAGCGACGCTGGCGCTAGCCATCCGCACGTACGAGTTGTCGTACAGCTGGATGACGATCCAGGCGCCAGCCACCGTCACGCACATGCACGTCACCACGAAGGCGGTGCTGCCCCAATGGTGGGCCGTGAAGCCCTTGTCCCACTTCACCTCGCCGCTCCTGCATATGTCGTACTCGTACTGGCACACCTTGCACCGGAGCGGCTCGTTGCTGGCCGACGCGCTCTCCATCAGCCATCTGGAAGCGACCAGATGATTAATAATAATAATAGTTTATTGCTTCTTAAACAAGTTCACAGCAACGAGTGTATAAGAGAAAAAAATGAGGATAATATTATGTTTGTATGTACTCTGGAAATTAATTAAAAAAAACGATTGAACATTAAAACCTACCAAGTACAAGGATAAATATCAATAGTTATAGAAGAAGAAAATAATACAATTATAGTTTATTCATTCAGAATAAATGATCTCAGTTTAAGGATATTCCAAATATATTCAGAAATTATTCTAGCATCACTGATTGTTATTTTTTGTAAGGCAATAATTAATGTTTCAAAATTCCTTAGACATGGAGCTCCTTGTTTCATAACAGTGTAAATCGGACAGTCAAAAATAATATGGAGGAGAGTTTCATCTTCGTTTCTGTTGCAAACTGGACAAATTTGATCAGGGTCAATGGAGTAGGCAATTCCGTTTAGGGTGAATTTAATTTTGCAGTGATTGGCCATACGTAGTTGAGCAAGAGTGCGGGTGATTTGGATGGGTTATTTCAATAGTAAATAAGTGCTTGGTACCTTGGAAGTTCCAAGCAGATTGTGAATATACATTACATACACAAAAGGGTAACGGGAAGATATTGAACGATCTGAGTCATGTAAGAATGTAAAATGTTTGAATAAATTATTATAATTCAGATCATTCCATAATATGAAGGAGTCAGAATCAACAAAAAAAAATTTCATTTGCAAAAGCCAATTATATTTAGGGTCCGCGTAATTTTTCCATTTACAGTATTTTGCAAATACAGTTCACGGATATTTTGAGCACATTATAAGTAAGTTTCACCCTCCCCGTTTCTGAGCGAACAATGGCATCGGGTGTATTGGTAGAAACTAAAAGAATTCTTTTAAGAAAGGATATTTGAACTCTCTCAAACACTTCAAGATAAATGAGACCCCAAACTGGCAGGCAGTTATACATAACACTTAAAGTTAATGATTCGAATATCTTCAACCTTGGTGGCCAGGTATCAATTTTAGCCTTAGACAAGATAGGCAAAATAGAACCAATAGCTTGTTTGCCTTTGGTGTTGGTCAAAGTGGACATTTCATGAAAGAGACCAGATGATGTGAAAGTTACTCCTAAATAATTATATTTATTGGTGACTTCTACTACATGACTGGCAAAGTGAAATTTGAAGTTTGGTTTTTGAAACCCACCTCTAGAAAATTGCATTATTTTAGTTTTCTTGAGGTTGACAGTTGAGTCATTTTCTGTAGTGTATTTTTCCAGAATTTTGAGTTTTCTCACAACATCAATTTCAGAATGGGCCAAGATAACGAGATCATCAGCATACATCAATGTTAAAACGTCATTCTTATCATCTATGTTCATGGAAAAAGGTATCTATATCCGCTATAAAAAGTGCGAATAATAGGGGACTTAATGGTTCACCTTGTAACAGAAGCGAATTCTTTCTCAAATTCATATGTCACATTGAGGAGTTCTTAAAATGGAAAAAATGACTAGGGCTAATTTTTTTTGGCCAGGTATCAATAAGGACATTGAAGATGCGGCAAAAAATTGTGAAAATTGTTCAGTAAATAAAGTATCTCCAGCTAAGACAACTCTAAATTGTTGGGAATGGCCTGAAAGAGTATTCTCCAGAATACATATTGATTATATGGGACCATTTCTCAACACTTATTGTTTCTTTATATTATTGTTGATGCTCATTCGAAATGGTTCGAGGTCTATCCAACGTCTACTATTACAACAAAATTCAGTTCATCAGCACTACCTGATGTTATTGTTCAGAATTTCAAGATGTCCTAGGAAAATATGAAATCAAGCATATTACTATTGCACCATATTTTCCTCAATCAAATGGTGCTGCAGAAAATGCGGTCAAGAATGTGAAAAATGCTTTAAAAATTTTGGGGCGACACAAACATCTAGATATACTTACTGCTATAAATAATTTTTTATTCGATTACAGAAATGTTAGTCACTCAACAACTGGTTTGTCTCCATCTAAACTTATGTTTGATAAATATATATTCACACTAGGTTCGACATTTCCAAGCCCAATTTCGGTGTTCATAATAAAGTTATAAAAGAACAAAATTACCAAAGAAAGAAATTTGGTGGTTATGAACGACATTTTTCAGTTAGTGATCGCGTAATTGTGAAAGATTACAGGGTTAACAACAAAGTTACATGGATCCCTGGTGTTATCAAGACAGTGGTTGGTAATTGCATTTATTTAGTTGAAGTGCCTGAATTGAATCAAGTGTGGAAACGTCATACTAACCAAATTTTGAAATACAATGTATACAGTGGGCTGAGGGATAAAGTTTTTGATAGAAATGAAACTACTTCTGATGATTTCAATTCTCATTCTCAGCCTACAATTGATTATAATTCAGATGTTAGTACAACTGTCATAATGTCGAGACCGAAGAGAATTGTTAGGCCACCTGACCGGTATGGATACTAAGTGTTTTAATAGGTAGGTATTTTTCATTTTGCTGTCAGAGAATGTACTGTATTATACAAGGTGATTCTAAAATAGGTGGTCAAACTTTGGGAGTATATAGAGTGAGTGAAATAATTTCGAAAACCTCGGTAACATTTTTTTCTGAAGTGCCCTTCAAGAAAGATACAGCCCCTCAAAGGGGGGCCTCGGAGAATGATTTTGTATCTCCAACACCTTGTATGATGAAAATCTAAAATTTTGTTTATTCATTAACTATTCAGTGCCGGTTCGAATGGAGTTGAAATCACCTCAAAATTGAATACAGGGGTGTGTCAAAATAGGGAGGTAGGGGGTAAAAATAACCCCAACTCTTTTGTTCATCGCAATTTCAGTTTTTTTACATGAAATTATGAAATCTCAGGGCTATTAACATAGAAAAGGAGCTCTTGTTGAATCTCTATAAAATGAACCATTAGCGAATAAAATTTATTTTTTCAAGATTTCATTTGAATTGCAATTTTGGTATGCACTTAAGTTTAATTATTCAGTTCAAATCTTGCAACTGAATTTTCCCTACTTCTAATCGTCTGATCAACTTGGAATCTGGCAGACGACAGTTAATAACGCGTTATGGACTTTTTGATAGAAAAAAATATGGCGGCTCCAATGTGGCTGACCAGATTTGTAATTATGGTCCGATTCGATTCAAAATTGGTTTGTAAGGGTTTTTGGGGTTGGAAATTCTGAATTCGTTGTCGGAATTCATAATTGAAATTAGACGACGAGTTTCGTGATTATGGTCTGATCCTTTTGAAAATACTAAAATGAAAAATATTGTTAAAAACAAGCTTTAATTATTTTAACTATTGAAATAAAAAATTGAAGATGAAATAAGGTGAATGCTCCGAAAATGAGAAAAAAATGCTTCTAGATATCTTCTTCCACTTCCTGGAGCATTTGAATGGAAGCTTTATTATCACTGATTTTTTCTACCTTATTTTATTACATTTTCATACAACAAAACTCCAACGAAATGGAACGTAGAATTTAACAAATCTGGTCATCCACATTGGAGCCGTCATAACGCATTGTCAACTGCCAGATTCTAAGTTGATCGGACAATTAGAAGTAGGTAAAAATTCAGTTGCGAGATTTGACCTAGATAATTAAACTTAAGTACATACCAAAATCGCAATTTGAATGAAATCTTGAAAAAATAAATTTTATTCGCTAATAGTTCGTTTTATCGAGATGCAACAAGAGCACCTTTTCTATGTAAATAGCCCTGAGATTTCATAAATTCATGTCAAAAAACTGAAATTGTGATGAACAAAAAAGTTGGAGTTATTTTTACCCCCTACCTCCCTATTTTGACACACCCCTGTATTCAATTTTGAGATGATTTCAACTCCATTCGAACCGGCACTGAATAGTAAGTGGATGGATAAAATTTCAGATTTTCATTATACAAGGTGTTGGAGATAATAATACAAACTCATTCTCCGAGGCCCCCCTTTGGGGGGCTGTATCTTTCTTGGGAGTCACTTCAGAAAAAAATGTTATGGAGGTTTTCGTAACTATTTCAGTCACTCTATATGCTCCCAAAGTTTGACCACCTATTTTAGAATCACCTTGTATATTAATATGTTAGTAGGCGTGAAAATAGACAAAATGTCATGGAAAATCTATAAATATAATACAGTTTGTGAATTGAAGAAATTCAGACAATTTTCGCATGTTGCGTATCTTACACTTTCTGTGTTAATATGAATTTATTTAAATAATTTATTATTTTCGCTGTTTTTTACTTCTTTTTGGGGTTTGACGGAAGAGAAAATGTATGTTAAATGTCAAATTTATAATTCATATTGTACACTTCTTTTAACACATACAAACTGAATCTCGCCCAAACTATACACTAACAAAATTCAATTATATCTTTCATTAACTGATAAAAAAGACATTTATTATCATTTTTTTCATTATTATTACTATTGAATGACACCGATAAAAAAATCATAGGGGTCAAATAAAATCCAGAGTTTTACACTGTAGCAACTCTGACGTCACCTCTGTACATTCTCTGTACATTCACGCGGAGTTCAATCATTTGAGTTGCTGTGATGAAATATTTGTTTTTATTTTCGATTTTTATTATATTCTCAAGATCAAATTTCCCGTTGATAAGAATTAGTAAAAATTTGATATCATGGGAATATCCGTTAGCCTATATTTTATTGATTTGCTGAATATATGAACTCATTTCAAAAACACCTCGTATAAGAAAATTGAAGAAAATATCCTTTTCCGTCGACCTCGTATTAACGCCAAGTTTAATGTATATGAAATCGTTCATTAATGACCCCTATTAATGAACGATTTGTCTATTAATGTACGATTGTTTTATAGGCAACCAAACATACACCGCGTGCATTCATTGTTTATGCTATAACTTACGGAATCTGCATTTAAATCGAAAATATGGATTTCATTGAAGATTTTCTGTTAACGGGTTCGCCTTTCCAAGTTTCTGACAC